GACATAAAGCAGAGGATAGTCAGCCTACACTTTACAACTTCACAGAGTACAAAAAACATGAATGGCCCTAATAGGTAATTGCAAGTATTATCCCATCCCCCACAAATGGAAACAGACAAGTTGTCCTTTGTGTATTTGGAACACCGGTGAAGGAAGAGTAAATTGTTAGAATGCAGAAGGTAGAAGGAGAGCTCGAGGGTCTGGGACATGAAGTTGGGGGAGGCCATAGGGGAACTGAACAAGGAAAGGGTATGATGTAGAGAGCATTTGTTGGGTTTGCCGGAAATCTGGCTCTAAGGAAATTCCCAGGAATACACAAGCATGAGCCATGCTTAAACTCTGACCCACATTGGAGAGGGCACCTTAGCGCCACTTGCCGTTGAATCAGGTTGATGACTACCTTAGGTGTCATCATATAACTTTCATCCATTAACCCAAAAAGGAAGGTGAAGAGATCCACAGCTAAGCACTGTCCCAACTAGTTGACTACAGTCTTGCAGCAGGGGGTGTGATAATATGAGCAAAGTGGACAGGTCCCTGTGTCAGAAACAGCTGAGCAAAGCAAGAATCAAGTGGGAGGTCCCCGAGTCTGGACTGACACCTCGCAAATCTACATAAAAATGAGCTAGTTCTTGGAATGTGTATGACCACTGTGTGGTTTGGGCAGTTGTTGGGTCCACCACATGGGGAACAAGGATTTATCCCTACTGCATGAAATGTCTCTTGGGAGCCCATTCCCTGTGGAGACATACCTTGCTCACTTACATACATGGGGGAGAGTCTTTGGTCTGCTTCCAGTGGTGTCACAGATTTTGTTGATTAACCATGTCTGAACTTCCCTTTCTGAGGGGTGGATTGGGGGTTGGGTGGGTAGAATGTGTGCATTGTTGGGGGATAGAGAGTGACCCGGGTCGGTATGTAAAATACCTTTATTTTAAACTTCTACAAATGATAGAATGAACACAGTTTAGAGAAAGATACCAATCAAACAAAATATAAGGTATTGACAGACAGAGTCTACTCAGTCCCCATGAATGAATGAGTAGAATTTAGGATCTTCATGTAACACAAGAAGCAAACTACACTTCTCATGATTGCTCTTGTTCCCAGATCTGACTTTATCTGGAATAAACTCACATCCAAACATAGAGAGCACTGCTACAGTTGTGGTATGTAGATCCAACTCCAACCGGAACCTTGGAGTTACAGGTACAAATAGATTTAATCCTGATCTGGAGGCCAGAAAACAAACAGACCCTTAATGCGGAACTTGATCCATAAACAGGCCCCACCCTCTGCTATGAGACTACAAAGGGGCATGGAGAGAGGAAGAAATTCCTCTTTGCCAGCTAGCCCTTGCTTTGCAGCAAGTCCCTCCCTTCACTGGCAATAGCGACTACTTCCCTGACTTCCAAAATATACTGAAGAGCAGTGGAGACATCCCACTTTCTGGACTGAGTATGTACTGAGGTCTTGCACTTTCTCTGCACAGCTAGATATTGTGAGGCTATCAGGCCTACAGCCCTAAGTCATTATAAGGAAATCCCTTTCTTCATATGGTCTGAATTTCTTTCTATCTTTTCTGTTTCTCTAAGGAACCCTGGTACAACCTTTTTTTTTGATGCAAGGGCATATCCACGAGTTGAATAAAATTGTCAAAAGTAGTTACCTGTTGACCGCAGATTCAATCTAGAAAAGGAAACAGTATTGTGGTGAGATTGCAGCTATCCCTAGAAGCTCAGTCTGTCTTCTTTGAATCTATCATTGAAATCTGGAGAGAAAATTTCAGAGACACCCAATCTCTAGCCCCAAAGAGTTGGGGATACAGAGAAAAGCAGAAAACACAATTCTAAAAATGTGTCTGTGGTGATACATAATTTACCATTTCTCAAGTCCCTGGAGATCAAAAGAGCAAAGCAACCATACTGCTTATCCAGTGAAGCCAGGCAGACTCGATTCCTCTGAGGACTTGCGTGAAAAGGCAGGTGGATAACTGTGTGTTCGATCTGTGTGTTCAAGTCTACACATGTACACACTAGATTGAACCAGCCTAAAAGAGTAACAGAGATCATACCCTTGATCCCAGCAATAGAGTGGTATAAATGATAGGAGCGGTGACTTTCAGTATTCAGGCTCAAGATAAACTCCAGGTAGGCTGAGGAGAGGTAGCAGTGTGATGCTTGGTGAGAGCATGTGGAGTCTGAGGAAGAGGCAAGAGCTAGTGGCTTGACTGCTTTGCTTGCCTGATGTTCAGATTGATGCTTGAGCCCCAATCAGTCTCTGGTCTTTTATTTTTGTGTAACAGATATCTATCATTGTGACCTCCAGGTTGAAGAATAAAAGGCCCTAACTTTTGATTTTGGAATCAGGTTAACTGTCAAACTGGCACAAGCAGATATGTCAGGGGACCTGGCAGCTGAGAGCTGGAGCTTCACAGAAGCCAGTTTCCAGAAATTCACCATCAGCAACTTTTGTTCTATCCAGCGGGAAATAAGGGAATCCATTGAAAGCCCAACCTTCCCCTCAGGAGCCAGGGACAAAAACAGACGGACTTTGAAAATACACTCAAATGGGATGGATGAAGAAAGCGAGGGCTACTTGTCAGTTTACCTAACGTTGCTCAGCTGCCCAAGGAGACCAGTGTGGACAAAGTTCCAGTTTTGGATCAATGATTCCGAAGGAGAGGTAACAAAAGGCATGAAGCACCCAAGATTCTTCAGGTTCCTAGAAAATCAACAGTGGAGTTTCAGAAAGTTCATCCTTCGAGATTTCTTCTTGGCCCAGGAGCCTTGGCTTCTCGAAGACAATGAACTCAGCCTAAGATGCAAGGTGACTGTAGTCCAAGATTCCTTTGGCTTCTCTAATGAGACCATGACACCAGGGATCCAGGTTCCAAGGTGCACTCTGTCAGATGAGCTAGGAGAGCTGTGGGAGAATTCCTTCTTCACAGACTGCTTCCTGATGGTAGCTGGCCAGGAATTCCATGACCACAAGGCCATCTTAGCAGCCTGCTCTCCAGTTTTCAGAACCATGTTTGAACATGACATGGAGGATAGCAGAAGAAACCGCACTGAGATCCAGGATCTGGAACCTCAAGGCTTCAGGGCAATGATGGGCTTCATTTACAACGGGAAGGCCCCGGATCTCCACAGCATGGCAGATGTTCTGCTTGCAGCTGCCGACAAATATGGCCTGGAGCATTTGAGGGTCATGTTTAAGGACGCCCTCTGCAAGGACCTCTCCGTGGAGACTGCTGCCCACACTCTCGTCCTGGCTGACCTCCAAAGTACAGGGCAGCTGAAAACCCAGGCACTGGATTTCATTACATCTCATGCTTCTGAAGTCTCTGAGATTTCATGCTGGAAGAAAATGGTGGGCTCATATCCCCACTTGCTGGCTGAAGCATACAGCTCCCTGGCTTCTGCCCGTTGCTCTTTACTGGAGCCTCCTCCCAAATGCCTCCAGCAATCTTAGGATCCTCTCAGCTCTGACCTACAGGTGTAATCCATAAGCGGCAGCCAGAATTGTTTCCAAGGACACCTGGGTAGACTGTGTTACACTGTAGCATTTTCAGAGAACCTGTGGAAAGACAGAATATGGGCTCAGGCCTTTAATACCGCTGGAAATGAGTTGAATGACAGTTTTGGGTAGGGAGAGCACTGCATTCTGCTATTCTCTACCCAGATGCTGTACTGGTTTGCTTTCACTACATTGAGTCTTATACTGGGAAATCAGTGGGGTTGTTAGCCCCAAGCACATCCCAAAAGGGTTTCTTTGGAGGAACCTGTCTGGATAAGACTGAGCAGAACATACGATCAAGGATTTTGACCAAAGCAGAAAACAAACATGATGTGTGCTTACAAGGGACGAGGAAGAAGAAGGAAGACAGTTTTTCTCTCCAGAACCAGAGTGTGGTGACTGGACTGTTGACTCTGTTGGCTGAAGCAGCTGATGCTCCTGCAGAGGACCAATTCCATGAGTTCAGCTGTTAGCATATGAGGGAGACTTCTCAAATTCCTTAACTGTAGATCCAGAGGAATGAAGTCCTCCTCTTGTCTCTCTGGTGTATCCATTTCAGTAAACCAAACACTATAAAATGAATAAAAAATTTGACAACCATTTTGTGGATTCTTTGGTGTTTCTGTATAAAGAGGCCTGTATTAGTTCATCCAGTACTGCTCAGGTTGTGTGAATTTGGTTAGCATCCTTAAGGCTGCACCATTCACACAAAGCTTCACTACTCTTTCTTGGCACCAGAATTTGTCAGAGTAGATGCCAAAGGTGAGGAAGACAACTGCATCTGGCAGAGTCTTTTCATAGTCTAGTCTTTGCTAAAGACTTTATGGGTGTTCAAGAAGGAGAAGGACATTGATTTATTGAGAATCCATACTTTACCCACCTGAAATATGGGTCCGTTTTTAGATATTTGTAAAATAATTCTTCCATCCCCACCACTTTTGTTTTTGTTTTTGTTTTACGAGACAGGGTTTCTCTGTTTTGGAGGCTGTCGGTCCAGCCTGGCCTCGAACTCACAGAGATCTGCCTGCCTCTGCCTCCCGAGTGCTGGGATTAAAGGCGTGCGCTACCAATGCCCGGCTCATTCCCACCACTTTTAAAATGAATTCTCTCAGGGAGACAGTCTCAAAGGCTGGGACTTTGATACCCCTAACTTGTTCTCCTCTGCCTGATTCTTTCGGTTCTCCTTTGACAGCTCTTTCCAAATTAAACTGGAGTCATAGATTAAGTTGTTAATGCCAATCAAGCTCCCTGGTGATTTAGATACCAAAGTTTGAAGACAGCATTTCCATTTTTGTGTGTTGTAGCCGGTCTACAGTCAAATCTTACCCAGTCTGTAGAAAGAATTGCTTTTCTTTTGTTATATTTATAGCTTGCATGGGATACTGAAATTATTATTTCTAACACTTCTAGTTATACCAAAATCAGGAAATCAGATAGTTTGTTTCTTAAAAAGGGGAAAAAGAAATTATAACATTATTGCTTTGTGATAGAAAATTCCCAACTGAGATTGACTGAGACTCTCAACATGATGGATCTTGCATATTAGACTGCTCCAACAAAGGACATGAGCCCCTCTTCCTAGAGGAAAGAACTTCCAGGCATTCATTTAGAAATTTAGGAAGGAACTCTCTCATCTACATCTCTCTGTGTGTCCATCAACGTGTATGTCTATAAGTCTCTGTCTGTCTGTCTGTCTGTCTCTTTTATCTCTTGTTCTGTGTCTCTTTCTGTGTGTCACTGTGATACTCTTTTCTATGTATCTCTCTCAGTGACACACAGAGTGCCTGTATTTCTGTCTGTGTGTCAGCCTGACCATTTTTCTTTCAGTTTCTCTAGCTCTGTCGCAGAGCATCTCTCTTTCAATTGATTTATTTACCTCCACGAACACTGTGTTTGTCTGTTTAGAATGAAGATAACTGTATGCATGTCTGTCCCCTTGTCCCAGTCTCATCTCTCCATTAAT